ATTGCCTCAATCTTGTGTGGGTCAACAGAAACTCCTTCCATAGTGATAACATGCCCTAGAAATGCCACCTCTAGTAGCAAAAATGCACATTTCTTCAGTTTTGCATACAGTTTCTTTTCCCGGAGGGTTTGAAGAATCAACCGAAGATGATTCTCATGAGCTTCTACAGTCTTCGAATAAACGAGAATATCATCAATAAAGACCACCACACATTCATCCAAATAGGGCTTAAAGACGCGGTTCATTAAATCCATAAAGGCTGCTGGAGCGTTAGTAACTCCAAAGGGCATAACCAAAAATTCATAATGACCATAACGAGTTCGAAAGGCTATCTTCTCAACATCATCAGCCTTGACCCTTAATTGATGGTACCTAGACCGTAGATCGATTTTAGAAAAGACTTGTGCCCCCTGAAGCTGGTCAAATAAATCATCAATTCTTGGTAATGGGTACTTATTATTGATTGTTACCTTATTAAGTTCCTTGTAATCAATACAAAGCTGGAGTGTTCCATCCTTCTTTTTCACAAACAGAACTGGTGCACCCCACGGAGACACACTCGGACGAATGAATCCCTTGTCTAGTAAATCTTGCAATTGAAGTTTTAATTCCTTCATCTCAACTGGTGACATTCTATATGAGGTCTTAGAAATGGGTTGAGTTCCCGGTGTCACTTCGATCGTAAACTCAATTTCTCGGTCTATCAATTGCCCTGGTAACTCTTCTGGGAAGATGTTCGGAAATTCACAAACAACTGGGATTATGTCAGTACCCCCATTTACCATTTGCTCTTTCACAACACTACACAGATACCCCTGACACCCTTTTTGAATTAATCTACAAGCCTTTGCTGCAGAAATCATATACGGTGGGGAAGTCACCTCTTGTCCTTGAAATATAGATTCTGCTTGACCCGGAGGGTGAAAACTCACTTGCTTAGTCAAACAGTTTATAGTTGCACTATGTTCACTCAACCAGTCCATTCCCAGTACAATATCAAAATACATCATATCGAGAGGTATTAAGTTAGCGTATAGCCGAATATCCCCAAGGTCGAGTTCATAAGCAGTATATATAGAAGTACAAATCATAGAATCTCCCAACGGTGATGACACACACAGCATATAAGACAATGCTTCCTTAGATGTATCTAAATTAGGAGTAAATAGCTTTGATACAAAAGAATGGGTAGAACCGGAATCAAACAATACACAAACAGAATGACCGTGAACCATAAATGTACCTGACACCACTGTCGTCGCCTTTTGCACATCTCCCGGAACCAATGCAAACACCCTACCTTGTCTCGCGGTGTCCTTGTTGTTAGTATCTTTGACCGGTGCCTTGGTATTGATAGTTGGTGTAGACCCCGTTAAGATGGTAACAGTCCTGTTACTATTTTGTTGCTGCTTCCTCTGAGGGCAATCCCTTATCACATGGCCCGTCTTTCCACACTGAAAGCAGGCTCCAGACTTCCGATAACATATCCCACGGTGCTTCTTTCCACACTCTACACATACAGGAATCGAATCTTGATTAGGGGTAGAAACATTTGAAGTCCCTGAATTTTGTTTCTTATTTGGTGAAGTAGTTGCCCCCTTCGACCGTTGACTGGTTTGCCTTTTCCCCTTCCATTTAGAAATTCGGTTTTGTGCAGCGATATTCCCTTCTGCTATAACGGCCCTCTCCAACACTTCTACATAGGTGGGCAGCTTCAACATATTAACTCGGTCCAGAATAGCACCCCGTAATCCCCCTTCAAATTTTCGTGCCTTCTTATAGTCCGTGTCCACCATGTAAGGTGCGAATCGGGCCAACTCGGCAAATTGAGCTTCATACTCAGCAACAGTCTTGTTCCCTTGCCTGAGGGTTTCGAATTCAGTCACCTTTTTATCTCGCATACTTTGTGGAAAATACTTATCATAGAATATCTCCAAGAACCTGTCCCATGTCAATCCTGGATGTATAGTTCTCGTAAGCATCCACCATCTCCGCACCTCATCCTCAAAAGTGAATGCAGCCAATTGCACCTTCTGAGCTTCGGTACAAGGAAAGACTTCAAATAACTTCTCTATTCCCAACACCCATGCTTCAGCTTTCATTGGTTCTATTCCTCTTTTGAAGGATGGTGGTTTCATCTTTTTAAACTCTTTGATAAGGGTAATAGTTCGGTCTTCAGCTTGGAGGTCTTGTATTGCCGGTGGAGGTACCGGTGGTGGTGGCGGTTGTTCTTGTGGCTGTTGCTGCTGTCATGGCTGTTGCTGTTGCTGCTGTTGTTGCCGTAAGGTCTCCGCCATTTCCATAATCATTCTCTCCATTCTATCCAATCGTGCAGTAGTAACATCTTCCACATCTTCTGTCCTTATTCTCACCATTGCCTACACAACAAGCATTTATATACAATAAACATATTCGAAAGTGTTAGCCTGATCAGAGTACTCTTAACATTGCCATCGATCTTTTATATACTTGCAGGATGTCATGCAAAATGCCTAAAACTTTTCTAGACACCCTAGAGCTCAATGGATCCGTGTGTGAGATAGCAACTCGTGCTCTGATACCACTTGTCACGCCCCTAACCCGCCCCTAAAAGTTTGGGCATGACCTATACGGAAACGGACACATACACTAGTATACATAGTATACGGGGCCTTAACGCAAGCATTAGAGCTAAAATAATATACCAAACTCCATTGAGCTACCTCTAATATGCCAGGATCACATGCATCATGAACATTAGAACAAACAGTTACAAGCCAAAATTATACATTAAGCGTCAGTTACATACATACGTATACAGTCCCAACCCTAAGGAAGGGCAATTACAAAAACATTTAAGTCATGTTCAATCAACCTTAATGAGTAGTTAAATTACAAGTTAACATCTTAGCAAAGCTTCACAAAAATGAGTAATCTCGTCTAATGCCCGGACTCAGAAAGGTTGACAAAAGAATTGACGACTTGGGTCAGGGCTGACCTCCGGGTTGGTTACCTACAGAAACAGACATATCAAAAGGTGAGCCAAGCTTAGTGAATAGTAATACATAACTAAAGTAATGCCTAACTTGAGCCATAGTAAAAGAATACATATAGATTCGTAGCTTGTCGACACTTATTGATCCACAAATCATGTCTAAAACACTTTGGAAAGAGATGTAGATATAAATATGAACTAAATGCGACTTCCCGAATGATTCTGAAAATGGATCCCCGCTCGAGCGCCCATTTTGCCACTCGAGCGGACTGTACAATTTAACAAAAATGCTGGGAGGTCGATTTTTACGCTCGAGTGGGAATTCACCCGCTCGAGCGGACCATGCAATCTCTGAAATTTTAAAATTCTAATTAAAGTTCCAACTTGATATCCAAAGCTTCAAACATGTACTTTCGTATACTAATGCAACATTCATATAGCGAGTCTGAATCTGTACTTATTCATAATGGTCTTGGAACTTATCTTGGGACATATTGGCTTGAACATAATGTTTTGGCTTAAAGCCCTTGTCTAGTGTGGCACAAACTCTTAATCATGGTGGCACAAAGCCCGTAAACATAGTGGCGCAAGGCCCTTGAATAATTGGCATGGAGCCCTTGAATCATTTGGCATTAAGCCCTTGTAAATTGGCATTGAGCCCTTGTAAATTCTTGTATGAACTCAAGAGGTGTCTCACACGGGTTCTAGCGGTGACTCACGTTGTAGCACTTAGTCCCGTGTAGCACTTTGTTTCATAACGTAGTTACTTATACCGTATGGCCAAAGGCCCATAGTCTTAAAGAATGAAAACAATTCATCTTCCCCATTTCCTTATATACACATGTCAAAACATGAACGTAATTACATATCGTGTATGAACAAGATGCTAATGACAATCATTAGGTACATGTAAAGCATATTGCTACTCACAGTGTTGGGACGATGTGCTACTTCCTCCCGGAGTGTGTCCTGCACACATTCAAACTTGCACATTAGTTCTTCCTTTCTTTGATAAATTAGGCCCTGATTCGTTACACTTCCATTGAATTTATAACCATTTTAAGATCATGAAAAAAATAATCTAAAAATAACTGAGGGTCAAGCACGCAAAACAGAACATATAATTTTTCCTTCTTTTCTGCTCGAGCGCCCAGAACTCCGCTCGAGCGGCCGTGTCCCTGTTTTGGGGCAGTTCGATTTCAAATTAAAATTCAGCAACACCACCTCATTATACATGCCAATCAAGGTAAAATTAATGCAATATATTGACCTAACTTTACTATAACATGAATTATCATCTAAACCACACAAAAGTAAACATGATTAGTAGCTTCATCACTTTTGCAAATGACCTTATGTTTATAACACATGACATCTTATATATATATATATATATATATTCATGGGGTTAGCATAAAACTAAAGATTGAAGTGTAACCTTCACATAACACCTAAATTAGGTGACAAAACAACCAATTGATAAGAAACCTCCTTTAATCAACCATAATTCCTACATAATACAAACCCTAAGTTGTCAAAACAAGAAATCATCCTTCCTTGAGTCCAAGTGAAGGTTAAATGGGTTGAATGGAGCTTAACTTGATTTAAATCCCACAACTTTCCTCAATTTGGCAATCTTTCTTGTTGAATTGTGTTTCCCCCCAATTCCTCTTCTCCACACGCTTTCTTTTCTCTCCCAGGAGATGTTGAATGGAGAAGTTCTCAAGTCTTAATTCAAGATATTTCTACACGCTTATATTGATTTGAATAAAGACAAAATTTAATTGTTTAATCATTCTGAAATTGAAATTTCGTGGCCATGCTTAATATTACATAAGAATTATGCTGATCAATATATAAAATCAATTTCAGATAATTAAGCCCCTAAGGCTTCCAATTTCTGATTCAAATATTCTAAGTGTAACAGATACGATTCTTGGAGAACAGATAGACATCCTTAACCCTCTTCTTCTCTTTTCTTCTCTTCTTCTGATGATCTGAGTCTAATCTGTTTTTTTTTTGTTCCAGTTCTAAAATGAAATAGATGGTTAGATTGATCGATCTACAGTCTACTAGTCTACACTGACTGTAACTGAACTGAGGTACCTCTCTCTCTCTCTTTCTCTCCTTCTTTTTCTTCTTCTTAACTGTTTTTTTTTTGTTGCAGTTCTAAACTTCTAAATCTAATCTTTTAGAGTCTAATCTATTATTATTATTTTGTTTTGTTCCAGTTCTAAACACAGAGAAATGTTCTTCTGTGCTATATGTTTGATGTGCGTGTATTTTTTACACAGGTTGAGCCTGCAAAAAAGACGCAAAATGGCAAGCAACAGTCAATAGGGAAGATTATCCACAAAGGTATGAAATGACAGTAATGAGTTTCTTCTTTATGGCTCTTTATGGGAGCTAATTTGCAATGTGTCTTATAGGCACTGATAGTGGTAATAAAAGAGCTTTTGGCTCTGCCAATGTTAATCTGCCGTTGAACTTAGAGACCTCCAAATGTGGTTCTTGTATATTTGGATTTCACATTTGTTAATGAGCAATGGTTGATGTTGATTTTTTAAATAGGTTGCAGACAAAATTCGTCGTGATGAACGTGTGAGTGTTGTAGAACGGACAAATTTGAGATATCTTCCGGGACTTCCACGGAAAGTTGACTTGGTGACATTGGACCTTTCATTCATTTCTATACTTTTGGTGAGCTTTTAGACAGTGCTGAAATGATCTTAACTTGCATCTGTATATTTTTCCAAGCTGTTATTTATGACCATTCTTTGGTCTTCATTTATAGATAGAGCCTCAAATTTTCTGCATGCCTTCTAAAAGGCAGTCCATTTCTTTCTTTAGTAGAGCAGCGAAATTTCAACATTCTCCATTATTATTACCATGACTTTATTAATCATTATCTAGATTTTTAGTCCTATTAAAGCTATGCTTGGATCATGGATTTGGAAAGAGAATGAAAAAGGTGAGGGAGATAAAGAAAAAATTTAGCTTATATTTCATTCACATTTCTGAAATCTGTGATCCAAACACAGCCTAAAGGTTTTGTTTCATTTTGTTCCTCTGTTCCTAATTTAACCCTAAATGCAGGTCATGCCTGCTGGGGTCAATGTAATGAAGGAAGAAGCTACATTGGTTGCTCTGATTAAACCCCAATTTGAGGCTCCCAGATCTCAAGTAAGAATTCATGCATTTTTTCAATTTTATTTTTTTTAGTGAAATTGCCCTAGGTCTAGGCTGGTTTTCTGTTCTCTGCAATTACTTATATCAAGCTGAATCGGATTATATTTAAATAGGATTACTCTTGAGTAGGGGTTGAGGTTTACCATTTGAAATGGCTTTGTCAAGATCTAATAAAAGGGATCTTTCTTTTGTTCAAAGCCTTTGATAAAGATAGGAACTCATAGATTAGATTTCCAAGAGGTCCTGCTCAAGCATGGTTTGATACAAATAATAATAAGGCCAATGGGCAGGTCATCATGGAAAACAACAAAAAAATGAATAAAGAATAAGCACATGTTTGCATGTGTGCTCTTCTAAGGAAGGGCAAGAAGAATTTGTGGTTCACTACAAAAAGGAGTGTAGATCCTGGTGTGAAGTGTAAACATAGAACAGAGTGCCCTGTGTAAAACTAATTCATTATAGACCAGTCATATATATTGTTTGATGGACTAATAAAATTATTTTTGTACCGCTTTATGTATACCTAGTTTATGGCATTTTTCGGGTTCGGGTGGGGTGGCGGTTTTTTTGTTTTTTGTTTTTTGTTTAAAATTTGTAAAATTTCAAATCGCCAAACCGATTCGTATCCATCCGCCAATTCGCCAAATCCGCATCCGCCGGATTGGCGGACGAATGCGGATTGATTTTCTCCAATCCGCCAATCTGGCGGACAGATGGCGGATTGGAAGTTTCGTGGCCGCAACCGATCCGCGGCCACCCCTACTCCAAATAATAAAGAGAAAATGGTTACACCAAAATAATGACCATTAACCAAGTTAAGAGGTTACCAAGGTAATGAAACCCCATTTATGTCCATTTATGACCAAGATATATAAATAAATAAATAAAAGATATTAAAATGATCCAACATTTTTTATAACAAATAGATAACTCTTGTCTTGCTCTATAATTTTAATTCTTGACTTCTAAACAAAATTCTCAATTAACTAGTTAAACTCTTGAATTTTGCTTAACATGGTTCTAGAGATATTGAAGGAATGTAAGGGAAAAAGAAGAACAATTGTTATAATATAAGGAAATTCACCTCTTAGGTCGAATATATAGAATAAATGGAGAAAAATAGAAGAAAACTATGAGTGCCACGTACCAACTTATCTAACTTTGCGACGTTGTAGCCATATCTAGAGACCTACAGTCGCATGTTCAAACTTGAGGTTGCATCTCCTTAATACCAGCCCAGACTCGTTTACTAAACCCACGAACTCAAAACAACTCCAATCATATAAATGGGAAAAAAAAAAACTTGGCACATGCATGAAATAATTATTTTTTAAGGACATGATTAAATCGTCTAATTGGAAAGACATTGCTATGACAGCAAGAGATGTAGCCTATCAAAACGAACACCTCTCCTGGCTTTTGTATCAGTGTTTGACGCGTTTGGGACACAAACATGCTTGGACATATCTTGAACATTTGTCGAACACTTATTTGAAGGTGCCCGGATATTTAATTTTATTTTTCTTGTTTGGACATGGGTAAGGTTGCAACTCGGACGGGTTAAGAAGTTGTTTAAGTTCAGTCTGAGTTGTGCTGAGAGCTATCTAGATTGGCCCAAACCCAAATTGTAGCCCGAGATTATTTGCCCAACTCCAACCTGAATTAAGCTTGAATTACCTAAATCACCTAAATTGCACAAAAAAAAAGTTTTTTTTTTTTTTTTTTTTGTACGACTAAGAGCTCGTGTAGGAAACTTTTTTAGTGATATTTTGATTTTTTTATGAGATGAAAAAAGTTAGTTAGTTTGGGATATATTTTTTTTTGGAATAAATGGTTGTAATGAAAAAATAATGGATTGATGCGTAAGATAAGACATTTTAAAATTTTAAAATTTTTAGTTTTTTTTTTGTTGTGAATTTTTGATTATTTTAGCTAAAAATTAATGAAAAAATAATTGATTGATGTGTAAGATATGACATTTTAAAATTTTTAGTTTTTTTTTGGTTGTGAATTTTTTATTATTTTAGCTAAAAGCTTCATCCAAAAAACCCTTAAGTTTATTAATTTGTTAAAATTAGACTCTATTAATATTTTTTTTATATTTTTGGTAAAATCTTTAATAACTTCAAACCAAATAATTTATATGATGTAAGATAGATAAGAATTGAAGAACTGATATGCTGTTACAATGATCTTTATAATTTTTGAATGAAGTTTTTATATTATGTTACTCGTGTTTATAATATATATTCATTTAATATAACCTAATGACTTATAATTTACATGTATATTTAATATTTTTATATATTTATATCTATATAATTTAAGTTTTGGATTGCCCGAATTATTTGGCGGCTTTGGCCAAGTCTACCCAATTGCACCCCTAAACACGGGTAGACATGCTGAGGGACACCTTAGTAAAATATGGAACACACTAGGGTGAATTTGTGAAATTTAGCTGAAATTCTATTTCCATACACTGTTTTTTCTCTTTCCACATCTTTTCTCCATACACACATTAATAAATTTAGATTATCAACTTTTACTCAATACACATCCTACCATACCAAAAATACCCTTATCATCATCATCCTCCAAACCCTAATCCTAACAAACCACCATTGTTGTTGCCGGCGGCAGCGGCACCTCTTTCTCTCCCTTTCACTTCTCTGCTGATGGCTCTGTTTGGAGCTACGGTTCTGAAGTACTTATACTAGTTTGCCATTTTTTAGTTGCTCTGTATGTGTAGTAGTTATGCAATTGAGAAATATTCTTTTGGGGGTTTGAAAGTATTGTTTGGGCTTGTTCAGATAGTCGAGAGATATTGATGAATTATTTATTGAATTAGCTTTGTAATATTAATGTCCTAGTGAAATAAAAAACTTGGGTTTTTTCTTCGCAATTAAATTTTTGTTCATAATTATACTGGATGCTTATAAATTACCCTATAACAAAGTCAATGAAGATGGGAATAATGTCTCAAACGCTTAAAAGCAACTCCAATGGCCGAGCTACAAGATTTTTCAAATAAAAATGGATATTTTGATAATTTAATTTTAAGGCAAAAATGTAATACAAAAAAAATTATTAAGTATGTGGAAAAAGAGAAAGTAGTGCGTGGAAATAGAATTACTCATTTAGTAGGGGTCAAAATGCAATATTAAACATTGAAGCAAAATGCCCAGTTGTTTCCAATACAGCCCTAATCCAATCGATGGGCAGAGAGATAGAAAGAAGAAAAGAGAGAGTAGCTGAAGAAAAGGTTGAGAAAGGAGAAGCCGTTATCGACTCGCCGGAGAAGGGATATTGTCACCGTCCGAAACTTTCACAGGTCTCTCTCTCTCACTCTTCGCCACAGCTCTAGCTCTGTCCATTTTTGCCTTTCTTTTCTATCTTTTTCGTCTCTCTCTTTTCATTCTTTTTCTTCTACTATGGCTGCTGGTTAATTGTTATGGATGTTATTATTCTTGATCTCTTTAAGTTGCTGTGGCTGTTATACTTGTGGTTATGAAATAGTAGAAGAACCAGAAGAAATACGTCTTGTCACATCGTCAAGGTGCTTGTCCTCTCCGAAAGGGTTTGCACCTTGATCGGTTTTAGAGAGAAACCTCTACAAGAGGATATTTTTGAAGTCCACTTCATACGTCCTCGTATCTGAGTGGCTTGCTCGATCACCGTTGCGACCTCTGAGGCCCTTGATGCCTTTGAGAATTTTGGTGTCCCTACCAATAGCAGCCTTCAACTCCAAATCATTTGTTGGCCATGGACTCCAACCTAATGTGTTGGGCGACTATACACTACGCTGTCTTTGGTTGAGTTAGATTTGGAAAGAGAAAGGAAAAAAGGAAAATGAAAAGATGTGTGAAATTAGGAGAAATGTAGGTATATTTTATTCACATTAGGTTTTCAATTTCTCTTTCCAAGTCCATCCTCAAATCTCCTAACCATACATATTATTAGGTGGCCTTGCCTTTAAGGTGAAACCCTTCTATAAATAGGTCTCCACCACCTGCATGCATGCAAGAACTTATCATTTCAATAGAGAATACAATTACATGTTAGGTTGTCAACTCCTTTGACCATAAGTCCTTAGATGTATTAATTTGAGTTTCGGTGAAATACTCAAGGCTTGTGTTTTTGTTTCATCTCTAAAAATATTTGAGTTCATATCAGTCTTGATTTTCTTGATATGATGATTTGGGAAGCATGGACACTCTGTTATGTATGCTTGTCCAACATGTCTTAAATTTTTAATTTTTTTTTTCCTGGAACACGGCAGGGACACACATGCCTTGATTTTGCACATGTGCTGGACACGGAAGGGCCAAAATGAGTCAAAACCGGAATTACAAAGTTAAAGATCTAATAAATTAAATAAAGATAGGCATCTCACACGTGTCATTGGACATGGAGATGCTGGGACACATGTTGATGTGTCCTAAATTTTTTATTTTATTTTTCCCCCAAACACTTGAGGGACATGTGTGTCCTGATTTCACACGATATTTTGGAAGCTTTTAATGGGTCCAAATTGGAAAATTACCAAGTTAAAATTCTAATAAATAAAAATGAGCTTTTAGCTTGAGAAGGCATCTTTGGATTGTTGAACTTTTATACTCACAGCGAGAAAAAAGCAGATTGTGGAGAGATTCTTCATTGATCTAGTGGGAGCATCGAGAACCAGCTCTAACCTACTAAAACACGATCAAGCTAAATTTTTAATTCTTCTTCTATATGGTCAATTATCTTTAGCAAGAAAACGTGTTCAATGGGGCTCATAATCTAGTGAACTCTTGTTGATCAAAAAAATAATCTAGCGAACTCTTTATAAAATAAGCAACATCTGACTTTTGCAGAATTTAATTATTCACAATCTACTACTTAATCTATTTTAGATACCCTACTATAACATGGTCTCATCTTATAATACCTCAGGAGCTAATGAAACTATTGAAGTCAAATTAAATTTCTTGCTTAGTGCATCCAGACCACCGCACTATTGCCCCTGACAAACTTTCTGTCTAACTGTCTTTTGATCTCTCTTGGACTTTATTCCAGTTTGTCTCCATTTTCGTGAAACCATTCCTCAAGTAATGCACTAAGGTAGCCAATAAATCATCGATGGGTTTGTGTGAATAATCGAATAGAGAGCATTACTCATTTACATCAATAAAATATTAATATCATATTGATCAAGGCTTTCCTTTAGTTTGATTGCAGCTAGTGGTTTTAGAATATTTCTTCTACGAAGCGGTTGTGCTAAGTCTTCCTTGGAAAACATAGGCATACCACATGTTCAAACAAAAAAGGCCCTAGATGCACACACACATATATATATATATATGTATATATATGGTAACACCCCAATTTCCGTAATCTTGAATAACATTAATTAATTCCATAATCATCCTTTTTCAAGATATTTATTATATATATACATACTAAAGTCAATGTAATACTCAACATTCAACAGGCTTTGTCGCGAACAAAATAAACTTCTTCTTCATTACATTGCATCATTTGAAATATGAGAATTTCCCAAAGGATTCACATGCAATAATACAGTCAAAATATTCCTATCTTGAATCTATAACATGTGAATAGCTAATACAACAATGTAAAGAGCAAGTAAAATACCTTATGGGCTTACATCTTTCAAGGTTGAAAACTTTGTTACAAAAAGAGGGTTTTGAGCCATACAATTTAGCTCAAAAGTTTTATGACAAAAACAACAAAACAAGAGCATTCTTGCACCAAACATCGATCATAAGCTTTCGATGAGCGGTGACATCTCACCTACACCTGAAATTGGTTTTCCATGAAGGGATGAGCACAATTGTCTAGTAGAGATAACATTACAAAAGTATATGAGCTTTACAAATGATGCCATTGCATGTCAACATTTTTCGTTGCTCATAAACAAAGTTTTAAAGGCAAATGCGTACCATAAGACGTTTTACCCCTTATGAGGCTCGCCTTAAGGCGTTGAGGTTTAAGCATTTCAAATTTCAAATTTTTATATTTAGTAAATAATTTAATATTTTAAAACAATAAGTACATCAAAATTATATATAAAAGTGTAAATACTTTTTTTCATCGCAGAGAAGGATGCTTTGCTTTATTGAAAGTGAAATTGGTATTTTCAGCTTTAGTGATTGAGCTTCTCACTAAGCATTAATTTTGTGTTTTTTTCTTGATTGGTCATTTACTTAATTTTTCCTATAGAATATAGTTGCAAAATGAGTTTTTTTGTTTTTATTTTTTTTTATGTTTAAACCATCTACTAGACTAAGTTTAACAAGAGCCTAAGGTAAACCCTTCATATGCTTACTCCTCACATGCTTATGTGTAAAAAGTGTACACACGACGCACCTAAGGTGCATGTCTCAAGACTGTGTGCGCAAGTCTTTGGGGAGTAAAGCCTAAAAATCAAAGCCTTGAGGCGTTTTGCCTTAGCCTCGCCTTAAGGCGAGCATCAAGGAGAGCCTCAGTAAAGCCTTTTAAAACTTTGCTCGTAAATGCAACAGTGCGATCCTTCCAAAATGAATCAATTTTTCGCATAATTTATAAACAAATTATTAAATCATAAATAACACCTTGGAAATTCCTAGGTGATGTGTTTGCAAGTAGTCGATTCAGAACTACAGCAAATCCACATTTATTGGCTATTAACCAGAAGGGCAATTGGACATCTAACTCCATGCGGTTTTCCAGACTTTCACCGAGGACCTCAAGCCAACTTAATCAATTTACAATCGTTTTCTACACATCCCGGATTTGACCAAGTTATTTTACTTTAATGTTCCAATCATTTCCAAAAGAGTTCCAAGAACAATTCCTCAAAGGATGTTCAGCAATACTAATTCACATGAAAAAACATGCAATGCCAATGTGATGTATAAATTGCAAAAGTTTACATTTTCCCTAGTTTCCAATTCATTTATACGACAATCATGCAATCCTCCACCGATTGCTCAAAAACAGTTATCTCTATCAAAGTATTTCACAAATGACAATACTAGAGCATAACTAAATCCATTCCATCAACACATATCTACGACTCCCAACATTGCATGTGTTTCAAATAATTCCAGCAACTCAGTAATATTCTATTTTTCAAGATTTTCTTCCATCTTCAACACAATTTCTCATTTCATTTCTCAAACCAAATTTCAATACACAACCAAAATCCCCAATTTCCCATTTTAGGGTTTTCATAAAATTTAGGGCTTTCTCATTTTACAAGCAAAATCTTTGAAATCAAGATACTGTTTGCTAACTAGAAGTATGAACTTCAATATTTTAAAAACAAGGAGAACAAGTCCTAGTTTTGATACTATATATCTTTTACCAAAACCCCAATGAATCCCCAAATCCCCCAATACCCATAGCTACAAAATACCACATATCGATGAGAATACAAACATACTAGACTGATAGAAATCCCTACCTCAAACAAGAGGATGGAAAAATCCCAAAAGTCGACGGTGGCGAAAAGGCGATCCGCTAAGATTAGAATGAAACCCTTGACAAGTTCTACAATCTGTTTCAAAGGAGCAGGTGAGGGGATGATCCAAAGTGAGGAGATCTGAGGGTTTTGTGTGAAAAGCTAGAGTTTGAGAGAGAAAAGAAGTGGGTTATGAAATAGAGAAAGAAAAGAGAGAGTACTAGGACAATAGTGGGTTATTAGCCCCAAAGTCAATTAAAATAAAGTCAAAAATCCCAAAAGAAAGGGCAAAAACGCAGCAAAAAATTCTGCATTATTCTGTCAGGTGTCGACACCTCCAGGAGGAGTGTCGACACCCAAGCAGTGGTGTTACAAGTTTGAATCAGGCTGGGTGTCGCCACCACCAAGCCCCGGTGTCGACACCCACTAGCAGTGTTGCATTTGTGTTACTTAGGTCCCACGGTGTCGACACCAGGAAGAGGTGGTGTCGACACTAGAAAGCAGAAACAACAAGAGGAATAAAAAGAAAAGTAGGTGTTGACCCCAAGAGACCCAGTGTCGACACCCAGATTAGAAATTTAAGTTCAAAGGCACTTTCTGACAATTCTGAGCACAAATGAACAACCCTATCAAAGTCTAGATCAGATTTTCACTCAACCAATACAATGATACACCACCCAAAGGATCCCAATAGCAAAATAATAAAAATTAAACACGCTCCATTGACTTAGAGAGTGCAAGTGTTACAGAGAGGTACAAGCAGCAGTATATAAGAGCCAAAGTCCATTTCTTTCTCTCTCGGCTTTGCCCTCCTTCAACCTACAGCATCGGCAGGGAAAAAATAGTTTTTTTTTTTCTTTTTTTCCCTCCCCTTTTTCATTATCATTTCCATTTCATGATAAGAAAAAAGATCGCAGTCTTTGAACTATTGGGTTAGGGAAGGTATCTATGGGTTTTGGTTTGGTTAGGTTATCCCCAGTTGCTTCAGTTCTCTCTACATTTCTTACTTTTTATTCCCTCTCTTCCATTTGTTTTGTTTGGGTTTGGGTTTGGGTTTGGGTTTGGGTTTGGGTTACCTTAAGGAAGCAATTAACACTTAATTTTTTATTGTTATGTTATGGGAATTAACTGTTTTTGAATGTTTAAAAAGTTTTATATCTCTGTTATGATTACCTTAAGCAAGCAATTAACACTTGATTTTTTATTGTTATATTATGGGAATTAACTGTTTTTGAATGTTTAAAAAGATTTATATTCTCTGTTAATTAAAAAAATTAACCTGCATATGCCCAATTCTCTGGTAATTAACTGTTTACGAATTATTAGTCAGGGTTGTTTTACATTTTTTTCCTTACCTATCTATATATGTATATATATTTGTTTTTGCTGTATTCCCACCATGTTGTGTGTCCTGCATTTTTTTGGAGAATCAAAGTGTTGTCATGCTGTATGTGGCTTCTTAGTGACGGGACTAACAAAAAAATTGTTATTTCTGGAACAGAGTTGATAGGTATTAGTAGTTGCTCATCCTTTTGTTGAACACTAGCAGAAGCCATGATGCAAACATTACCAAGAGAGGGTGAAAATGCTCTATCTGTGGTTGGTCCAAGGCCAATGGAGTGGTCTACTGTTCCTTATAGTGGTCCTCCAGCACCAGGGGCAAATGGAAAGCAGAGAACATCAAGTCTGGAATCACCTATCATGTTGTTAACAGGTCATCAGAGTGCTATATACACGATGAAGTTCAATCCAGCCGGAACAGTCATTGCATCTGGCTCACATGACAAAGAAATTTTTCTTTGGAATGCGTTTGGGGAATGCAAGAACTTCATGGTTTTGAAAGGGCATAAGAATGCTGTTTTGGATCTTCAGTGGACTACTGATGGGTCACAGATAATATCAGCCAGTCCTGACAAGACCCTTCGGGCATGGGATGTAGAAACCGGTAAACAGATAAAAAAGATGGCAGAACACTCTTCTTTTGTGAATTCATGCTGTCCTTCCCGTAGAGGCCCACCTCTTGTTATCAGTGGATCTGACGATGGCACCGCAAAGCTTTGGGATATGCGTCAGAGGGGTGCGATCCAGACATTTCCAGACAAATACCAAATCACGGCTGTCAGTTTCTCTGACGCATCGGATAAAATCTACTCTGGTGGGATAGATAACGATGTTAAGGTTTGGGATTTGCGGAGAAACGAGGTTACCATGACGCTTCAAGGACATCAGGATATGATAACTGGTATGCAATTGAGTCCGGATGGGTCCTACCTTCTTACCAATGGCATGGATTGCAAGCTCTGCATATGGGACATGAGGCCATATGCTCCTCAAAATCGTTGTGTGAAGATATTGGAAGGTCATCAACACAACTTTGAGAAGAACTTGTTGAAATGTGGATGGTCACCTGATGGAAGCAAGGTCATAGCTGGTAGTTCAGATCGGATGGTGTACATTTGGGATACAACTTCTCGACGCATCTTGTACAGACTCCCCGGCCACACAGGATCGGTAAATGAATGTGTTTTCCATCCCATTGAACCAATTATTGGATCTTGCAGCAGCGATAAACAAATTTATCTGGGGGAGATCTCTACTGCAACTGCCCCGCAATTTCATTAACCTGCCCTTCATGGGTATGCAAGTCTTCTAAAGCATCACAAAGGTTGTAGGTTTTTTTGTAATTTTTAAGCTGAATTTTGACATCCTTGAGTATTACTATACATTTTAGCTCAAATGATTGCATCATGGAACTTTGGTCATGCATTCATCAATCCCTACGTTAAGCTCTTTTAAGAACCATGGATAAATGTTCGTCGTCTGGTGTTTGTCCTTTTTCTTATTTACCTGTTGGATTGTCACTATCACACCGTTGAGGGTTTGAACTCGACAACCCACACTGGCCTGAGTAAACTTGTGGGGAAATGGTGTTAAATTCAGATGGTGTGATGGACCAAAATTGGTTTGGGATCCCACCTTTTCATTTGTCTCACCCAGGCCCAACTTAAAAATATATATTTATTTGTTTGAAGGCCATTTTCTTCTTATGAGAAGGGAGTTAATGGAGTAAATGTGTCACTTATCTTTGCTAGTCATATAATTTCTTTGTAATCGTCCTGATATAATCATCAGCCTTTGCTTTGGGCTATTAGGTTCATGCTTTATGCTCTTTGCTAGTCATATAATTTCTTTGTAATCCTCCTGATATAATCATCAGCCTTTGCTTTGGGCTATTAGGTTCATGCTTTATGCTTTTTGGCTATTCAACTGGTACTGAAGAAAATGAAACCTTGTCTGGTTGATTTAGGTTGTAGACTTTTTAGCTGCTGATCAAAAAGTTGAATGCATGTTTGATTTCTTTGTTTCTACTCTTGTAGTCTTCTTGATGGTGGTCTTGTGTTTATCATATTGAACAATTTAGATGGCCCCTCCAAAAGTCCAGGACTATGTAAATACTGCTGCTGCTGCTGCTGCTTTTGAGTGAATGTGTGTTTTTCTTTTTGTGGTTAAATGTTTAAGTGTGTTGAATACTAAACCTTTGTTAATCCAGTGTCAATACCCCTAGGCCCCGTTTGTTTGGGGCTATAGGAAGGGGATTGGGACTACTAATACCTTGGTATTACTAATACCTTGGTATTACTAATACCTTGTTTGTTTTGAGAGATGTCATTGGGATTACTAATACCTTGGTATTACTAATACCCTTGGAAGGGGGATTCATAGTGAGGAGGTAGAGATGGTATTAGAAAAATAGTGAGGGGATTAGAAATTTTTTTATTTTTTATATATTGGGAATTTTTTTAAAATATTAATGTTTAATTTTTATATTTTTTTATTTGTTTTATTATTTTATATAAAAATAATTTAATAATTTCTCACTATCAATCCCTTCCCTAACAATCCCTTCACTATTAATCTCCTCATTATCAATTCCTTCATTCTATCTCTGAAAACAAACGGGCCGTAGGTCTTGGGTTTGAAGAAAAATTGGCTTGGGTGTGAGGATGTGGTGATTCTCAGTCAGTAGATTGCTCTTTTCAAATGACATGACAAATTTTAAACTTGTGGTAGAAGAAGACAACTTGTCTTGTTACAGTTTATTTGTTGTTGGGCTTGAAAGTTAATTCAGATTCAGCTATATTTTTCTTTTCTTGACAATACAATATGGTGCATGCAAGAATTTAATTTAATTAATTAATTATTATTTATAATTATGAGAGTGAAGGTAGGCATTAACTATGATATATTAAGATGGTTACCAGTTATGAAAATTGTGGTGGGAGGTTTTTGATGCCTTGTTAGTTTTCATGGTAAGATGAGTTGTGGGATCTTTTGAGAAGGATTGGGTTGGGTTTGGGGTTATTTTAATCACAAAAAGATAAAATAGGTCTTTTAGCTCAATAAGACAAAATATTATATCTAACTCATAATTATTACATTCTTTTACTTACAAAAAGTTAAGAAAAAAACTAAGAAGCCTTTTCTAAACGAAATTTTTTAGCCTCAGGTTAAAATAATCAAAAGTTAAAAAGTCAATCTACTTTCCAAACGAACTTTGTGTTTAATGAGGCCATTGGATTTTTTTTTCTTTAATTATCATGTTTCAAAATATTTACAGTAGTTAGATTATGTATCAAATTTTAATTTTAATTTTAATTTTTTGTGTTTTAAGATTTTAACAAGATTTAATGACCACATTGCTTTAGTATAATGGGATAGAGAGATTTAAGGGCTGAAAGGAGGGGAATTTTTTTGGCCTTCTAGTCTGCATCGGTTGTAGTTTTACGCCTCCTGGAAGGGTATGTCGTTACGGTGGGTAAGGCTCCATCTGTTAGTTTTTGTCTTTCTTTTTTTTGAGGATCTTTCGGCCTCAGTTCTCATCTACTAAAAAAAATTAAAAGGAAAAAAAGTCAATCAATTAATTATAAAAATGAGAAATGCTACTGGTGGTAATGTCAGTACAGGTAAATGTAAAATTATATAAAATTATAATGGATGCATTTAAAAAATTATTAAATACGTTCAATTTCTTAATACATTTTATTAAATTATTTAGATTTATAATTTACTCTCAATATATTTTATGTTTTTTTTTTCCTTCTAAATTATCTTTTAAGGTATACCCTAATAATGAACAAATCCAAAATCTCAAATTATACCATTTTGAATTTTTTTTTCAAAAATCTTTAAACAAATTTCTCATTATATTTATTCTTTTTGTTCAACAAATATGCGACAGTGGGAAAATAGTTTTGTGAAAAGAGTTTTGAAAATTCGAAACTTGTTTCGTTATGAGTTTTCAAATTTGTTCTGAGTTGTATATTTTGAAAATGCTTTTTAGAAATTTAAAAATTCATAACTTTTTTGGTTATGAGTTTAGGTCTAGTATTTTTTGTCTTGTAGTCAATTTTTTTTTGCAATATTATAATTAAATTTGATTACTTCTTTTATTACCTAATCTAAATTTATTTTTTAGATGTATCTAATTTAATCTAATCACGTAATGCAACTTTTTATAAAATTACTGAATAATAAGAAATATATAAAAAATAAAAATAAAAATTAACCCAGTTTAAAAATTAATATGATTTTAATGTCTTATGTATTTATTAAATTTTTTTTTGAGGTTTTCACATTTTGTTTACTGTTTAGGTCTATTTGGATCATATACATCTAAAACATAGAAAAAATATTTGGCCAATATTTAAAAATCAAACAAAATTAATTTTGTGAAACCCTAAACCAAACAGGTTTTAGGTTTTAGATTTTGAATTTTGAAAAATTGATTAAAAAATGTAACCAAATGCACCAAAATTGTAATCAAAATTATTGAATTCCAAAAGGTATATTAATGTTGTGTTTGGTTCGAGAATTTGAGAAGAGATTTGAAAAAGGAAATAGAAAAGGTAGGTGAAATATGAATAAAATATACCTATATTTTACCTAATTTTATGTACTTTTTTTTTTCCAAATCTCTTTTTAAATCGTTCAATCAAATACAGCGTAAATCTCTAAATTCCTGATATATTTTGGGGCAAAATCTTTATGCTGTGTTTGGTTGGGGGATTTGGAGAGGGATTTGGAAAGGGAAAGGGAAAAGGTGTGTGAAACTATGTGAAATATAGACATGATTTATTCACATTTCACCTATCTTTTCCATTTCATTTTTCAAATTCCTTCCCAAATTCCCCAACCAAACACAGCATTAGGTCTTTTTATCTTTGCAGTTGAATATATCCACCCATAAACCATTGATGGAACAAAGTGACGACCCGTTGCTGAATCAACTAAAGGGTCAAAGCAATCATGGAAGATGGAATCAACTATAGGGTCACGACCAGTTGGGTATATATCTATTATTATTATAAAATGTAAAGATTCTGTCATATGTTTTATTTATTTTTTAATTCTAATTTTATCTCTTAAATCTATTATATTTTCTAAAAATTATGAGGAGTTCTATATAAATAAGGGATTTTTATTGATAAGTCCAATTTAGAAGTGTTTTAACCCAAGAAGTTCATGAAGGAACTTTTTAACCCATTTAGTCCCATGTATGTATAGTTTGAAGAGTTCTATATAAATTAACTATTTCTTTATTTTTGGAATTGAACACTCAAAAGTTATATATCTGTTTTCAAGAGTTCTATATAAATATAAACAAACCGTCTACTTTTTTATCTAAAAATAAAATAAAAAAAGAGCCATCTTCTTATTTTTTACATTAATGATGATTGAAAAACAAAAAATAATTACTCTTTTTTATTTTTTGTGTCTGCTTCTTTACTAATATACATAATATTTATAATTCTCCATCATGGATTAAATCACTGTGAATAATTTTGGTTAAATCTTAAAATTGTATGCATTCGTTCGAATCTAGACAAATGAAAGTGCATGCGTTTTTAAAATAGAGATTTGCCTTACATCTCAAACATTTGCAGGTTATCTTTTTGCACTTTCTTTTTGTTTAAATTATATTTTATGAACTGTAATTTTACATTGTAATTTAATAACAAAGTATGATGTTAAAATTCTAAACAAGAATCACTTTCGTCGGTTTTATTTTTTAAATATGTTTTTAGTTTTTTTTTTTTAAAATTTTTTTTTTATGTTTTTTTAGCTTTGGTGATTAAAGATACTGGAATTTTTTCATATTTTATATTTGAATTACACTTTTACATGAAAATCTAATATCTAATAATCTAAATAGAATTAAAAAATAAAATATTGGTAAAAAAATTGATAAATTCAAGCACGTACCGATTTTTTAGTATTATATTTTTTTTGTTAATATTATTATTATTTAATATTAATAATTTTTTTCTAAGAAGAATACACAATAAATTATTTTCTAAATATATTTAGATTATGTGAATCTAAATTTAAAAGTAAAATTAAAAAATAAAAAATTATTAAATTAAGTGAATTGAAAAAAAGGGTTATTAAAAAAAAAAAACAGTATCAACGACAAAAAACCTAAAAACCAAAATATTCAAAACAAAAATTTGAAAAAACAAACCAAAGGAAACACTATAAGCTTCTCATTTTTTAATTTTTTTTTTCTTCACTAATCTCTAATTTTACACAAATTATTCACAAATTGCTTTCAATTTTTATATGAATTTAATAATCTAATTAAAAAATGACGCATACATACAAAAATGTAACACTAAACATGTCTATTATGACTAACTATTTAATTATGAATAATTAATTTTTCATTATTTCTTGTATTATATTATTGTAAAGATTTCATATACTCCATCCGTCTCAAAATATTAGTCCTTTATTCCATTTTTCATTATCCCAAAATATTAGTCCTTCTTCAAAAATCAAGTACAAAAATAATATAAATTTCTTATTTTGCCCTTCTTTTAAATTAATAAACAATATAAAAAGTACAATTATGACATTGATATTCCCAAAAAATGTACCATCAAAAGGGTAATTTTGGAAAATCAACTTTTTTAAAGGGCAATAATTGTACTACTAAAAAAAGTTGAATTCTTCAAAAGGGACCATTATTTTTGGACAGATGGAGTATTACTTTTGTAATATTTTATATATGTCAATGTCTACATATATAAATATATACAAAAAATATAAAT